AAATGGTGCTGGGAAAACTGGATATCCATATGCAGAAGAATGAAACTTGCTCCTATCTCTCACTATATACAAAAATCAAATCAAAATAGATTAAAAATTAAATCTAAGACCTAAAACTATGAAACTACTGTAAGAAAACATCAGAGAAACTCTCTAGGACAGTGGTCTGGGCAAAAATTTCTTGAGCATCCCCACGAGCAGAGACAACAAAGGCAAAAATGGATACATGGGATCACATCAAGTCAAAAAGCTTCCACACAGCAAAGGAAATAATCAACAAAGTGAAGAGACAACCCACATAATGGGAGAAAATATTTGCAAACTACCCATTTGGCGAGGGATTAATAACAGAATATATAAAGACCTCAAACAACTCTCTAGAGAAAAACCTAATAATCCAATTGAGAAACGGACAAAATATTTGAATAGACATTTCTCAAAAGGAGATACACAAATGGCAAACATGCATATAAAAAGGTGCTCAACATCATTGATAATCAGAGAAATGCAAATCAAAATTACAATGAGATAACATCTCACCCCAGGTAAAATGGCTTTTATCCAAAAGTCAGGCAATAACAAATGCCGGTGAGGATGTGGAGAAAAGGGAATCCTCATACACTGTTGATGGGAATGTCAATTAGTACAACCACTATGGAGAACAGTTTGTGGAGGTTCCTCAAACAACTATAAAGAGAGCTACCATGTGATCTGGCAATCCCCCTGCTGGATATATATTGAAAAGAAAGGAAATCAGTACATCAAAGAGACATCTGCACTTCCATGTTTGTTGTGTAGCACTGTTCACAGTAGCTAAGACTTGGAAGCAACCTAAGTGTCCATCAGCAGATGAATGGATAAACAAAATGTGGTACATGGATACAATGGAGTACTATTCAGCCATAAAAAAGAATGAGATCCTGTCATTTGCAACAACACGAACGGAACTGGAGGTCATTATGTTAAGTGAAATAAGCCAGGCACCAAAAGACAAACATTGCATGTTCTCACTTTTTTTGTGGGATCTAAAAACCAAAACAATTGAACTTATGGAGATGGAGAGGAGGGAATGGTTACCAGAGGCTGGGAAGGGTAGTGGGAGGTGACAGGGAGGTGGGGATGGTTAATGGGTACAAAAAAGACAGAAAGAGTAAGACCTAGTATTTGATAGAACAGGGTGACTATAGTTAATAATAATTTAATTGTACATTTAAAAATAACTAAAAAGTGTTTGTAATACAAGGGATAAATGCTTGAGGAGATGGATACCCAATTTTCCATGATGTGATTATTATGTATTGCATGCTTATACCAAAATATCTCATATACCCATAAATATATACATCTACTATGTAGCCACAAAAATTAAAAATGAGAAAAATTGTATAGTGTATTATATAACATCATTTGGGTGTAAATATCCACACAGAATATCTGGATGATATACACTAAGGAGCTAATAGTTAACATCACCTGGGTAATGAGACTATGGTACTTTCTTTTATTTTGGTTTATCTGTATACTGATTTTAATGCTGTAATAATAAAGGTGATTTTTTTTTTGAGACAGAGTCTTGCTCTGCCACCCAGGCTGGAGTGCAGTGGTGCGATCTCGGCTCACTGCAAGCTCCGTGTCTCAGGTTCATGCCACTCTCCTGCCTCAGCCTCCCGAGTAGCTGGGACTACCGGCACCCGCCACCAGGCCTGGCTAATTTTTTGTATTTTCAGTAGAGACAGGGTTTCACCATGTTAGCCAAGATGGTCTCGATCTCCTGACCTCATGATCTACCCGCCTTGGCCTCCTAAAGTGCTGGGATTACAGGCTTGAGTCACTGCGCCTGGCCACAAAGGTGACTTTAAATTAAAATTTTGAGGAAACAATTGTAACAGATATATAGCTGGTACAGCTTAGATGATTCTGATTATACATTAGAAAACTTATATTAACTTTATTCTTTTGAATTTGTTTGAATATTTTCAAGTAGGAGTTTAAGCACCGAATCCCTTTAGTATTCTAGACTATTCTGTGTGACTCACAATTTTTTTTACCTTTTTTTTTGAGACAAAGTTTTGCTCTTGTCACCCAGGCTGGAGTGCAATGGTGCTATCTCAGCTCACTGCCACCTCTGCCTCCCAGGTTCGAGCAATTCTCCTGCCTCAGCCTCCAGAGTAGCTGGGATTACAGGCATGCACCACCATGCCCAGCTAATTTTGTATTTTTAGTAGAGATGGGGTTTCTCCATGTTGAGGCTGGTCTCGAACTCCTGACCGTGTCATCAGGTGATCCGCCCGCCTCAGCCTCCCAAAGTGCTGGGATTACAGGCGTGAGCCACCGCGCCTGGCTACAGTTTTCATAATAATATTTAGGAAAGACCTCTCTAACAAGTTTAGAGAAACAGAATCGGAATATGACAAGATGTTCTTACTAATACACCTGCCCAGTAACAGAAACACCAATATAAACACAATAAATAGCCTCTATAATTCTTTTAATATTACAACTCCAAATGGTTTCTTTTACTACTGCAAAGTAATTCATGTAGACGGAAGAATGCCTAAAACATACATATATGGTTTAAAGAATAATTATAAAGTGAATACTTCAAATGCTTTTTTCAGAAAAAGTGCTTAGGCAAAGTAATGTTCTGGAACTCTAGAACACTGACCCCCTCCCCTCAGTCTCATCCCTGGCAAGTCAAAGCATGAGGGCAGCACTCTACATTCACCCTATCTAGTCCATAGTGTTGGAAACATCCTCTGATCTCTCATCTCTATCCTGATTTGTGTTCCCTGTGTCTAACCACCACTTCCTAGTGTGACTAAGTCTCATGCCAAACCCAGCCCAGACACTCTGTCCTGCTATTTCCAGGCCTCCTCCCCAGGATTTGGAGCCTGCCCTGGTCTAGCTTGATCCATCTGTTCACAGAAATTCTGCCACTGTAAATAAATCTCTTATTAACTCTCCTCCCCCTAACTGCCTGCCATCTCTGGAGCACTTCTGCAGCCTCTTGGAATTCCTGCTTGATATCCCATGTAGCTCAACTGGTTGTCATGGGATGGACCCCTTCTGTGAGTGAAGGTGTGATGCTATGCTGTATCCTTAGCGGGTATTATGAGTAGAAGACTTGGCTGCTTTTCCATGGGCCAGGAAAAAGTGATGTGGTCAGGTCAGTTCCACCAGCCTTGGTTCTCACTTCTCCCCCAGGCTGGAGGGGCCAAGACCTCAGCATCTGAGTCTGAGTTATGACATCTTGATAGCTTCTTACAGCTAAACTCTATCACCCTTGCTCAAGTATAAAATATAATAAATATGAACAATAGTCTGGACATAAAAGTTATTTCAAGAGCTTTCAGCAAAAACACTGGGGTGTGTGTAAGAGAGATGGGGGTAGCGGGAGAGAATCCCGCCCATCGATTCAGTAAAGCAAAACATGTAACCACTCTTTGGTCTCTATGAACACTTTTATATATTTACCAGGGGTTCAAAGCTGATTTTTTTATCCAGTAGGATTACACTAGATATGAGGTTAGGTTTTAATCTATTTCTGAAAAACTTAAGCTAATACACAGAAAATATTATAGCATATCTTTCATTGTTCCTTGAGGTTTTCAGCATGCACCCTTAATATATCATACAAACACTGGAAAGTTTTAAGGCAATCCAAGCAACTACCCTTTATAAGTGCTTACTGTGTGATAGGCACTACTCTGCACTGTGTGTATACTCTCTTCTCATAACAATCCTTGAGGCAAGATATTATAACCTAAGGAGCTTATGTGATTTGCCCAATGTCACAATATTAGAAAGTATCAGAGTCAGAATTTGAACCAAAATTTGTATTCACAACTACTATATAACATTGCCTCCCTCTACTGTTGTTTTAGCCAAGTTTTGAATTCAAGTAATGAATTCAAAGTTTGCTGATTTATAGATAAAATACTGCATGGTAGGTATCGCTAAGAAAGACCAAAAAATGGTTAGCTTTTCAAAAGAAAGGTATCTTTGTGGGAGACACCCTGAGAGAGGGTTCAGAGTGGTATATGGAGCTGAAATAATTTCAAATGCAGTAAGCTCACGAATCTTACAATGAAATGGCTAGTTTATGTCTTCAAACCATGCAGGGAGCAAAAGGGATCATACAACCTGGATAAGGTAGGGAGGAAGGGCAGGTGGGAGCAGATGGGGCATAACATAGGGGCTTAGGAACACAACAAATGAGCTAGAAATCATTCATTCTTTCATTCAATGAGAGGGGATAGGAAAGAAATGTGTTCAAGAGCAGTGAAGAATACAAATAAGGTTCTAGCAGGTAGCCTTGTAAGGCAGAAATAGCTGTCGCATAGAGTTTAAGCCAAAAGGTTATCCAGTTCCCTAATACTAGAAGCAGCCAGGGAGTCAGTAAATTCCCCAGGTGGGAAAAGGGTCTACTGTGAGTGAGATTCTGAACTAGAGTATGGACTGGAGAAAAAAGTCTTCCCGTTAGGTGAAAGGCTAAGAGTCAAGATGCCATAGAAATGAGGCTGGAAAAGTATGGTTTGGCACTGCCTGTGCTTTAACTGGAAATACTAAGTGCGACAGAATAGTGGCTGGATGCTTGAATGCCTAAAAACGTGAGCAATACAGGCTCAACAGCACCAAACTGCAGATGTGAGATTCTTGTGCTGCGTGTAATTGAGAGATGGCTTTGTTACCATGGTAAAATCCAGCTATACCCCTAACCTGGATGGGGTGGTTAAATATGGATCATTTGCATTCTGAGGAATACTTGTAAAACAACAGTTTAGGCTTTCACATAGAGAATATTTTTTCTACCAAACCCAGTGAAGACATGGAGCATGGCAACGTGGATATGAGAGTAAGACGACAGTGTCCTCTCTACTAGAGAACTCGTTTTCTCGTGGAAGACACAAGCACATTTAAAGTGTTACCAGCGTTATGGCAGATGTATGCTGGCAGATGGATGAGGGAAGAATTAATGAAGTCATTTTTTTTTTTTCCAGGGGAAACAAGGCAATGTGACCACGGCTTCTTGAAGCTGCTACTGGACTGGGGAAACAAAAGGATGTCACTGTAATAGTGAAGGATAGTTCTCTGCATTTGCTATGTTGGAATCTGTGCAAGTTATCTTAGAATGGCGTGGAGATAATTTACAAATTAGAGAGGAGAGAGATAAGAACCATCTTTGCTTTACTATACTTGGAGTCTGAAATCACATCTGGCCAGAGAGATGTGCTCCCTCAGACTCTTACAGAATTATTAAAATGCAGGCTTTGCAGCAGCAGCAGTAGTCTCATCTTCTTTGAGATTATGTAGTTTGGCTCACAGTTTCTTTCTTTTTCCAGAATAAAAATCACTTGGTATAGCAATGAATACTGCATTATGTTCTAGGCTAGTTTTTGACTACTGTCTTAAATATGTGAAAGAGAATGTCAGTGGTCAGTCCTGGACAGTGTTCCAGAAGTATGATATTTGAGTTATGCAAGACATATGATTGAGAGATCCACATCTACAATTTACTAATTTAAAAACTGGCACAGGAGTTCATGTAATTAGTCAAATTAAGGGATCTGTAACTTGTGAAAAGTAGGTAATTACATCTTAAAAATACAGTACGGTAGACAATCCAGTTGAAACTCTGTTATTGCCAGTTGATAAAAACCAGATTTAAATAGTTTTTGGAGGAAAATACCTTTCTTTTAGGAACTTTTTCAAAATGACTAGTCATCCTTTATGTCATTATTAAACATTTATTAAATTCCTAATATTTGTCAGCCTTTCAGTTTGGCATTAAGAATATAACAAGGAAATGAACACAGTCTCTGTCCTTGAGGGCACTGCATGTCTGATCTCCGCATTTATCTGTTAATACTGATTACAACACTGGGATAAAGACCACTAAAGACCAGTTCTGCTGGGGAAGGGAAGGAAGACCTTATCGAAAAGGATGGTCTTTGATCTGAGGTCAAAGGACTATTTGACTTCAGTTGTAAAGTAAAAAGGGTAGTCAAGCAGGCAAGGGAGGAAAAATCAAGGGAGGGAAGAAACAATACACTTAAAGGCACTGGGGAATAAAAACACACATATGAAACTACGGGGACACGACCATTCAATGCAATGTGGGATCTTGGAATGAATCCTGGAACAGAAAAAATGACATTCGTGGGAAAACTTATTGTGAAATCCAAATAAATTCTGTGTTAACAGTATTGTGCCCAGATTAACTTAGTTTTGATAAATATGCCATAGCTTATATAAGAGGTTAACATAAGGAGAAGTTGGATGAAGGTTATATGGGAATTTCCTGTACTATTTTTGCAACTCTTCTATACATTTAAAATATCTTTAAAATAACCACTAAAAAAAGTACAGGCATATTGAAGCAACTATATATAGTTAAGTATGGCTGGAATAGGGAATTTTTCAATACATAAAAGCCTTGGGATTACCCCCAAATCTCTTAAATAAGAAAAACCTCAGGTGGTTCTAATACACACCTCTGGCTTAGATTTCTTGGATGAAAGTATTATTGAGGAGGTGGAACTGACCACTTATGCAACAAACTATTTAGACATGGTGGGTAAGTGTGACAAGAGAAGCCTGTGACAAGGTTTGTCTTCATGGCAGGAGTGGATGGAGACAAGACAAAATGCTCAGTTTTGGACATGCTGAGTGTGTGGTGTCTTTGGGAAGACCGATTGAAGATGTTCAGTAGGCTGGTAAAAGTTTTGCGCTAGAAAAACATATCTGGCAGTTAACAGCATAGCTTACCTGCCCAAAGGGATGAGATGGATCTAGAGAGTATAAGACACACATGGCAGCCAAGGGCTAAACCCCTGGTAACATCAACATTTAAGGTATCCATAAAGGGAAATGAGTCCTCAAAGAGGGGGAAGGATGAAACTCAGGAGCACATTGTCAGGCCAAGGAGTGTGGGATTTTAAAGAAGCATTATTAATCGTGCTCTATGCTATAGGGCAGTCAAGTATGGAAAGGTTTTTTAAACATCTAGTAGCTTTAGCCCCTGGCTGGGCACTAGTGACCGAAAGGGGAAAAACTTCAGTTAAGCAATGAGGACATGATGAAGCAGAGGCAATGAGGGAAGAGACTTTTCACGCAGGCTGCATGTCATCACGGGAGGGAAGAAGGAACATGGTGGCTATTTAAAATAAATTATTTAAAAAAAATAAGGCTTGAGCATGTTTATAATCTGTATGAATACTGCTGGAAGAGATGCAGGAGGAAGAGACAGGACATTGGGAGGGGCAGGGTCTCACAACAGTCAGGAGGGAGGGAGATCCTGAAGGAAGTAGGTGGAAGAACTAGTCTTAAAGCGAAGGAATTCTGCCCCATCCCCCGAGACTGGAAGCCGGAAGGAAAGGAAGGATGCAGATAAGTTTGCAGGTGGCAAGGACAGAGCACAAGAAGTTAAGGAAGTTCCTGTCTGATGGCATCTGTTTTCTCTGTTAAGTAGCTGGGAAGTAGTGGGGTAGGGAGAATGGTAAGCTCTTGTAAATAGCTCTTGTGAGGACTAGTTTGCCTGCAATGTTGATGGACCCACATCTATACCCAGGCAGATGCTAACCTACAGCAACTGTATAATTTCTTCTAGCAATGCCCCAATCTGTCAGCATTGCCCTCTCCTATCTCCAGCCTTAATTTCTTCTAGGGCTGGGGATAGCAGAGGGCAATGCTTCCAGATTGATCTAGGACTATTTTTTATTTCCTATGCAGGCACAGTAGAACTAAGCATTAACAGATACCTTAGATAACAATGGGAAGAAAATCAAGTGGTCTACTGGAGGAGAAAAAGACTGAAAAGTAGGTATAGTTAGAAAATCAGAAGGTTGAAAGGCTGTGGTCATAATACTGGGAGTTTATGATTTTTGATATGAAGTGGTTCTGGATGATTTCATCTACCCATCCACCCATCTACCCATCTATCTAATCAATGGGAGATTCTGATGGGTAGAGAGGCAATAAGGCCTATGGTGTGGCCATAGTGAAGTAGAAGGCAAATGGAGGTGGCTAGAGTTGAAGTGGCCAAGAAAACAAGAGGACATGAAATTGGACAGTCAACCAGAAGGAGAAGACTCTGAACTAGGAACTAGGCTCATTGTGGGAAACTAATCAGCGACTTACCACACCACTCCATCCTCCCCGCTCTTCCTCATTGGCCCTCAAAATACAAGTTGGTGGAAGACAGTTACCAGGACACATGGAAAATTTAGCCCTATATGGGATGAGCCTTAAAAAGGCTAGGGAAGCTCTTTACAAGAGGGTGGAGAAAGAGTATCTCTGGAAAGCGTTAGGGTATTTAGAGACAGCTGACCACCAGACACTAGACACCCAGCTTAAGAAGAGGAGCTCTCTACTCCAGCAGCTATACAGGAAGCCCTCTCAGCAGAGGAAAGTCAGGTCTCACTTAAGGAAGAACATTTCGGGAGGGTTGAAGATGTAGCAGTATGAACTGGTTAGCATTGAAGGGGCTTTCCGCAGGTCGCTTAAATACCCCTAAGTGCTACGACCAAGGCTACCTATTAAGATAGCTTAGCCTTTTCTCCCCACTGTTCAGCTTGATATGTTTTTATACTAAAGTTACCAGGTTATTTATTTTCAAACATTGTAGGTGTTTTTTAATTTCTCTCACAGTGTGTAATGAATGAAATAATCAGTCAAGTGATCAATTCTTCTACAGCCACGCCTGGGGAGGACAGATATGTTTCTGGCTTGTCTAAGATTTACTGATTATGGTTACAGGGTGTCTTTTAGAAGAGTTGGTGGGGAATGTGCAATCTGGGCAGCAGGCTAGACTGCAATCCCGTCAGTCTATCTAAATTTTCAGATTCCCCTCATCTTTTCATTTTACTTATGAATGCAAGCATACTATAGGGAAAGGCTACACTGAAGTTTGAGATAAGCAGAGAACAGTAGCTTCTACCTGGATTTGAGAAGTCCATCTCAAAGGTGGTAGTCAGTGAAGTGTATTTGTGGGACTACTATGGACCAAGTTAGGGACTAGGATATAGCATAAGAACCTGAAAACTTGTAGAGAAAAATGTGGGCCGCAAAGGGTTTATGGACAAATTTTTAGTTAACAAAGATGAAATAAGTTACTCCACAATAGACTTTTACTGTCTATGTAATCATATTAAATTAATCCCTCTCCAACCAGGAAACAGCATCACCTTCTATTTGGCTGACTTTGTACCTGGCTCTTTTCCTTCTCGAATGCCTTGGATTAGGAAGCCAATAAACCCCACTACAGGAAGCAGATTCTCTACTAAGCAAAACTCTAGCTTGGTTGAGTCCGGCCACTTCAGTCATGGTGGTACTTGACAATCAATAGTGATGAATTTACAAAACCGCAACTTCTCCAAGGCAGACGGTATTATTACTATTTTCTTACTGGACCAGAGGGTGTTTCAGAATGTACTTCCAGTGACTAAAATTGCTCCACTAGAGTGAGTCAGAATGAATGGGGACTTGAGCACATAGTTACTTGTCTTCCTAGGCCCCTCTTTTTGGATTCTCACATCAATCTCCTTAAGAGATTTGACTTTTGGAAAACAAATTTGCGTCCGCTCATTCTTTTTTACTTTTTTATTTTTTGCTTCATTCTCTTTCCTTAACTTTTTGCTTAATTCTTTTTTCTTAACTTGTTTTACAGCAGGTAGCTGAAACAAGCTTAGCCAAATACATTCCTACAAAGTTAAGGAAGACAATAATTCTAACAGAATGAAATACCAAAACTTAAGATTAAATACGGTTATTAGCAAACTAGTGATTCCAAAGAGAAGTTTTAGACTTATCTGTCAGCCATTTGGAGATATAACTGATGTTTTGAGAGTTATAAAGGGGCCTCTGGAAGGACAAAATCTCTAACGACAACTAAGTTATTTTACTTATCCTCCTAGAGTTATGACATGCAGATTTTTATAGATTTCAGAGTTTATTGCCATTGGAAACCACTCCAAATATGTAATCAATCAAGTGATGTTGAAAATGACCTTTTCCCTTAGGATTCCTTAGACCCTGCCCTAAAAGGTGAGTTCAGGTCCTTGACAAAGTATTTACTGAAACAGCTCGGTAAGAACGGTTTCCTTAGAACACATTCGGAAGTTCAGCCATTGCTACAAAGGGAAACTATCTCACAAATTTAAGGCCTAAATTAGGATACTAACAGCCTTCAACACAGCAGATTTCTTCTTAGCTCACTGCAGGATTGAGTCTTTTAAACTAATACTTTACATGAAGAGCAAGTAGGTTTTAACCAATACTCTACTACAAACCAGAGCTATTCTCTGCATCATATCTCCAAGACAGATTTAAAGACACGTTTTTTAGGGTATTTTTTTCATCTCCCATTAACTTTGATATCATGGGCAGTACCAGCCAATAAATGACACAGAACATGATTTATAAAAATCCAAGACAATTAATGTTCCCTCAAAAACCTTACCATAAACATTACTGTCAAGATTATATGACACAAGAATGGTCTTTACTTACATAAAAGTCCAGAATTAAATAGTATAAAACAAGACTAAGTTTAAATTTCTGTCTCTTCCTATTTTTGTTTGGTCAAAATTAAAAAAAAAACAACACATTATTAATATTATAAAATAACACTTCTCCACTAACAAAAAATTTAAGCAATGTGAAAATAAAGAGTCATTATTAATACTTAAGGATATCATTCCAAGCATCTCTGTATGCACATATATACATAAGAACCTATAGTTAAACAACTTTATAAAAATGGTATTATACTAAATATATACATATATAAAGTATTAACAATAAGTACTTTTCTATGCATATAAAATTATCCTGTAAACATTATTTCCACAAATATAGTATTTCATTCACTGCATGGATATAACTAAATTTAATCAGATCTATTTTACTGGCAATTTAAATTACTTCCATGTTTTCCATATTTTAAGCAATCTGCAATGATCATCCTTGAATCATCTTTACTCACCTTTCATTATCTTCTCCCAAAAAAATACCAAGATGTGTGGGACAGCTGAGTCGAAGGATATATACATTTAAAATTTATCTATGTATTGCCAAACTGCCCTCCAGAAACACAATACTATTCACATTTCTTCTGTAAATGCATGAGACTATTTTCCCTTAACCTTGCTCTCCAATTCGGGGCTTTAAAAATCCCTGCCAGTCTGACAGGCAAAAAGGTT